AGAATATTACATTACAGGGTGAGGCACTGCAGGGAGTGAGGGAAGGTGCTGACCAGATCCCTAACACTTTAAATCTCTGGATTTGGTCTGGAGAGGAATAGTAAGTATAACTCTGCAGAAAATGTTCCATATGAACCAATATCTAAAGCTAGCGGGTCAAAAACACAAACAGTGGCATAATTAACATAGCACACAGCTCTCTGTGATGGAGAGAGGGATGTAGGCACTCTCCTACCAAGCCCCTAGATACGCAGACCAGGAAGAAAGAATGTGCAAAACAATATTGGGTTAAGAACACTAATGATTAATCAGTGCCTTCTGCCTTTTGGCTAAGATCAAGTGTAGTATCTGTTCTTATCAGTCTTCGGGGAAGAAAGGCATCGTGTCGTTGGAGAGGCAGGATGCTCAGTATTCCCTGATGTAGTTGGTGGGTACCGGAGGGGCCTCCTTTCCTCCTGGGTTGATTCTGGTCCGGTTACGCCGGGCTTGTCCCCAGTTGTAGGCGGAGGCTCTGAAGGCGTCCTGCCTCCTGAGACGAATGGATACGAAGCTTGGTCGAGGCTAGAGGGTTGGGGGCGGCAGAAGCCCGTGGTGTTGTGCCCCCTGGGGGTGGCGTCCCAGGGGTGCGCAGAAAGTCACTTGGGTATGGGACCCCACATGACTCACTGTGCACTTGGTCACACACCACATTGCAATTTTCTGCACTTCGCCTCCAAGACAGGCCTTATGGCTAGTCTGGGGCAATATTTTTGCACTCCGGCCCCTAAGGCCTGTCAGAGTGGTGCACTGGCACTTTAGATTTATTTAAGCAATCTATGCACGATTGGCAGGTTTCTTCGGGGCCTATTCTTGATGCTGGGAGGAGATTCTGTGCCTCCTACGGGGTTCTCTGTCTCCTCCCACCCAGGAGGTGGGTCTCTCTTCGGGAGAGCCCACCTGCCTAGTACTGTGAGGGACCTGTTTCGGCAGGTCCCCGAAGGAAATGGGTCCACCGGCCTTTGGGTTGGTGGCCCAACAGTCTCAACCCCTGTCAGGAGCCTTGAGCCCCGGGGGGTCGGGAAAGTAGGTCCCTTCTTTTGAAGGACCTTGCACCCTTGTGTACGTTTTTGTGTGCTGTGATTTCACAGTTCACTTTTTTTGTTCACAGGGGGAAGTTTTGATGCACGTCCACGGGCTTCGAGAAAAATGATTAATCAGTGCTTTTCCTTTTTAATAGTGTACGAATAAAAAGCTCAATAAATTAAAGCACAGATGAAAAGTATAATGCAATTTAACACTTTTGTGTATTTGGGCAGCACAGTGCTGTAGTGGTTAGCGCTTCTGCCTTACAGCACTGGGGGTCACTGGTTCACATCTCGGCCAGGTCACTATCAGCAAGGAGTTTGCATGTTCTCCATGTGCTTGTGTGGGTTTCCTCTGGGTACTCTGGTCTTCTCCCACACTCCAAAGACATGGCGTTTAAAAATTGGCCCTCGTATGTACAGTATGTATGTAAGCATGTGAGATAGGGACCTTAGATTGTAAGCGCCTTGAGGGCAGGGGATGATATGAATGTGCAATTACGTAAAAGCGCTGCATACATTGCAGGCACTATATAAATAAATATGAAGGTACCATTTATTTATTGAGGTTGGTACATCAGCATAAAAAGAGCTATAACTGAGAAAAAAAGGGGACAAAGATTCCCTTCTAAAAGAGGGAATGTCCCCCGAAAAGAGGGATATATGTAACCTATGAAATAATAATAAAATGTTCACAGAAATGCAATATCAGAATGCCAGAAACATGCATTTCAATCATCTTTATACTGGAGTCACAGCTAGATGGCCATGAGGACGCTGTTACCCTTGCAGAGAACATCACTGCCCCAGGAACTAAAAAAACCCCACGGGTTTCTACCTGACTGATGGCCATGGCAGAGGACTGTCTATTAAAACCATTACACAGTGACAAGCAGCGGGTCTGTCTGTAAGTGCAACCATTAATATAATAATAATGTTTTATCTTTTAAAACATGATCAAGTGCCCCTGGTCTCTGTTGTGTTCCTATTCTGACAGTGTATTGCTGCTACCTTGCATATGATATGCTGTACAGTGGAATCTTTTGACCTGAGAAAATAACAAAGATGTACCAGCAGGAGCCAGCCCAGCTCACTAAGAACAAGCTGTGTCATCCTATATACTTGTAAGTGCACTTTACCCTTTTATATTTCCTTCTCTATATTGTTTAACACACTTTTTTCTATTTTCAGTTGGTTTACTCCATACTAATTGCATTGAAGCTGCCTGCTACTGTCAATTTTAACTCATGGATGGAATTTTCCGTATAAAGATATCCTGACTCTTAACAGTATCGTAGATTCCATGGAAGCACATTTGAGTGGTCTTGGTTCGTCATTTTCTGGCGGCATGTTTAAATACTGCATGATTGCCATTTGAAATGAAATAACAATAGTTGATAGTCCTCAGACAATGGTGATATTTGCAGAGGATTATTTATCAAACCGAACTGTTACACACGCTTCACACTTAGGCGCTGCAGTAAAGCCCACTGTCATTCTCCAGCACAGATTTGAATCTGGGATGTAACAGGAGGGCATACTGAAAACAGTCCTACAGGCCCTCACACCTAATCAATGTTGGCAAATTCTGCAGATCTAACAGGCCAGATCTTTGTTGGCCACAAAGGTATCCATTCCTTCAATCTTTTAAACCAATAGATTCTTCAAAAAGGTCTTTTGACTAGATAACACAGTTCCAGTGTTTTCTGCCTTTCAATGGTCTACACAGGATTGAACAAAAAAAACCTAACAAAATAGAAACAGAGTGTTTTATATGTTTTACAATGTTTGCAATCAATTTCCAAATTGATTAGAAGTGACCTATTGGATCTATTTATAAATCTTGCATGCAGACATACTCTGTACGTCCAGGGTATGGCTGGGCAGATTTATAAAAAGACCCTATAACTATAAAATTAGGATAGAAAAACCTATTTGTTCATTTAATTTGCAATTGAAATGCTTAAATGCTCAAATGTAAATCTAAATTATAGCTTGGCATATTCATTTTAGAAGGTTTGACAAAAAAATTGATAATAATATTTGATAACAGTACCCAATGTAGATATGTGTGTGTCAAAAAAACAAAATGTGGGCAGGGGCTCAAAGCTGTCTGAAAGTTAACAATATAGATACACAATATAAAACGATTATATTTACTTACATTTACTTCTGTTATAGCAATATCTACGACGCTACCGACAACAATTAAGGCATCAAAAGTGTTCCAAGCGTCAGTGAAATAGTGCTGTTAGTAACAAGTGAGGACAGAACAAGACAAGAGAGAAATAAGAAGATAGCAGAGAAATGAATGGTGGGGCTACACCTCATTTAGCCTGACATGCAATGACCTTCATAAAATAACGCAGAGCACTCAAAATTAGAAGCGGTTGGTGGAGTCATATTAGGAGACAGTTGGTGTTTGTGTCATTGTAGTATGGTATTGAAGGGTCAGTCCACTTAAACATAATATATACATTTTTGACAGAAAATTGAACCACTTCACAGTTACATCTTTTTGGGACTCAATTGGTGAGGTCTATGAGTATCCTTGGCCTACACACGTTCTGTTGTGAGGGTTACTAGTTCCCCTTTTGTATTTATTTAGGAAGTAACAAAGTCAGGAATCATCTCATGGGTGGAGTACCTAAGATTAAAAGAAGCCAGGGGCTAACTCAGCCCACCAAGCTCTACCAGGCCACACATTACTAGATATGGGTTGATGCTCTCTATCTTTCTTTAGGGCTCATTTGGCCTAAAGAACTCTTCACTGTCCCTCCAGGGAATCTCAACTTTCCTGGCATACTTTCCCAATGTAAACTATATTAGGCAACAGAGTCATGAATCATAGTAGGGAGATTTAGCTGTTGGAGTATCCAAGCTATATAAGAAGTCAGGAGTTGACCCAGCCCACCAGGCTCCACCTGTGCGCCAACTACCAGATATAGGGTGATACTATCTATCTTTCTTTGGTCTAAATGGCTCTGCACTATCCCATCATGGAACCTCAAGCTTCCAGGCATACATTCACAATGTAAGATATATTAGGCAACAGAGTCATGAATTATAGTAGGGAGATTTAGCTGTTGGGAGTATCCAAGCTATATAAGAAGACAGGAGCTGACCCAGCTCAACATGCTCCACCTATACACCAACTACTAGATATGGGTTGATACTATCTATATTTCTTTGTTCTAAATGGCTCTGCACTATTCCATCATGAAACCTCAATCTTCCTGGCATACTTTTCCAATGTCATCAATATCAGGCCCAAGGGAAAAAAGAAGACTCCGTGTAACGTAAATAGGTGAGTGGAGTAGAGATCTCACTAACAGAGATAACTCAAATCACCATAATCTATTCAAAAGTGAAATATCACTGTTTAAGGAGGGCTGACCCTTTAACAAAAGACATCAAATTACCAATATTAGCACAGTAAATAGTTTACAAAAGAGACACTTCAGATTATGAGGTTTGGCCTCTGGCTTATGACATTTTTGAGGGAACTCAAGTTTTACATAATTTCTTATGTCATGTATGAGTTGTGTCCTACTGAAACCCTCCACAGAAGATACCACTATGGGCATTGTGTATGCAAAACTAGAAAAGAAAGTCTCTGTGCTGCTCATGGCAACCAATCACATGTGTTCTTTTAGTTTTAGATCCCACTCTGAGCACTGCAGCTAGCAGCTGATTGGATACCACAGGCAAAAAGAAAACATCTCTTTAGAATGGTTCTCCAACACAAGGCCCATAGAAAATGCAGTACCCGGGGGCAGGCTTATGCTAGTTGCAGTAAAACCTTCACAGGAAGTAGCAATAGCTGAAGGTAAAGTGAAGGTAAAGTATTAGATATATCTGTGACTTGTCCAGGTGATGGGATGCAGCAGGAGACACAGAGAAGGAAGACACTGGGAGAGGGACAAGATCATTACTTACATCAGCTTCACTGAGGACCACGTCTACTATGCTGCCGATAACGATGAGGGAGTCAAAGGTATTCCAGGCATCACTAAAATAACCCTGCACACAGCAGCCGAGGGGGGCAAATGGAGGTGATTAACATTTCACAACGGAAGACAGGCGCGTACAGCCACGCACCATGGACAAAGCACATAATCACAAAAGTAAAGACATCTATATTGTCTGTGAAGTGGCCTGGTAACTTGCCCAGTTCAAAATGGGGAGCATATAGTAAAATTAAGGCAAAGTGGAAATATGGCAATTTCTTGGGCTACTCAGATTTTTTCCAAAATATGTATTTGTCTCCAAAGGGAGATTTTCCATCTTTTTCTAAAACAACTAATATTTCTACATATAAATGCATAATTATAATTTCTATATTTGTAAGGTAAATAAGAAGAATGAACTGCTTCTGGTACAGATCAAATATTGCCCTACTTTCACAATGCCATAGTTTTATAATTCCCCAATGGGCTATAGCTATGAATCAGCCATAAGTATAAAGCGGACCTATGATCTACACAGGACAGTATGTTAAAACCATGTCCAAAGAGGCCCTATGCATGAATACGTGTCACAATGCATTATAGCTGAACAATTGCTTTCACTCACCTTTTTATGTGCATGAAGTTGCCATTATTTAGCCAGAACAAAATACAAACATTCATGAGCCCGAACAGCCCATATACTGGCACAGAGCAGAGTATGCTCATTCTTCCTCTAAGAACCTGCCTTGGCACTGGCACTGGAAACATTTTCCAGCATTCATTGCTGAATCTGAACTGGCTCTAAATGATCATATGCAGTTGGGAGCAATACCTCTTGGATGGTGTTTTATACACAGGGATGGAAGGAAATCATTTTGCACTTGACATTTCTCATGACGTGTAGTACTAATCTAGTCATTTTGTTTTGTTGTTGCATAAAAGGTCCGCTTTAACAATGAAGGATTTTTCATTTTAAAACATGCATAAAACACATATGTAAGCACTCAATGAAAGAAAATTGCAAGCTTACAGTTCATATTAGTGTTGTCCTTTAAACTGTGTAAAGAGGATTTAGAGTTTAATATTCTATAACAATAATAGTTGTAGAATGGAGCCCTCTTCTGCTTTAAAATAGAAATGCAACAGCTACAGGGCCTTATATTTGCAATTTTAAATTTTACGTAGTTATTCCACCAACTATAGCTCAATATTGGATACCAGTAGCGAGTAACAGACAAGGCCGGGCCAAGCTGACTGTACATACCTGTTATAGCTTGCAATCATTTGTCACAATTGTCACACAATTTGGGTAATTAGGGCCTTCCACATAATTTTTTTTACACACACTTGACAAATGATCAAAAACAATATGTGTCATTTATCTATAGGTATACATACATTTTGTATACTCTCACTAGTTAATCAGCCACTTCCCAGCAATATTGGTCACATGACAATAACAATATGGAAGCCACAGACAGCACTAGCCATGACAGTTCTAGTAAGACGAGGGGATATGGACAAGTCACAGCAAATTCATCCTTATCATGCATTTGGTTTACACAGCAACCGCTTGTCACTTACGAGCCAACGTTTTTTTTTGGCCACACAAATCTACCAGATAATATGCAAACAGAAGGTCATTGGGTACATCATAAACATCATGGTTGACTTATTGGACAGAGTCACTGAAATTAACAGCATTAAGTGTGATTTTCTAAAAAAATTATTCTAATTCAACAGTCAGGGATGTAACGAGTCAATAAAGGAGAACCGACGTTATGATGATCATCTTAAATCTGTAGTTAAAACCAATGCCTACTTAATAGGAGCCTGGTACTTTTATTTTTTCATGTGCTTCAGCTGTCAGCCAGATTTTGGATTAATTATTTACTAAGTCACTGAACTGATGTGAACATGAAGGCAGTAAAGTGTCAGGACCTTAAGATGACAGGATTCATTTCATTTTTGTTTTCATTGCAAGTCTCCTTTAATGACAACTAAGTGGGTGATACCATCTTTGTTGGGTGATACTTCTGCAACAGTGAAGCAGAATGTGAAAGAGCATTAACCCATAGCAACCAATCTGTAATATTTACTTAACTGATCTGCTATACTGAACTAAAAGGAACAGTATAATTTTAAAACATAATCCAGGACTGCAATAGTTAAAGCCAGTCCTTTAATTTCTACTAGATAGCAGTAAGGGCACCACATAAGTAATAATAGAGTCCGAAATAGTTCTTTATTTATGAAAAATCAACAGGATGAAAAATCAACAAGATAAAAAATCTAAAGCGTTTTCGGGGATTCGTAAACCCCCCTTCATAAGGGCTTGTAAGCTGAGTCACTTTAGGAGTGCCTGGACTTTAAAGGGTTAAAATTATCTTTAGCTATAATATCAAATGGTTGTACCAGTAGGTAATGTAGCGTGAAGTGAAGCCTCACCCAAGTGGTCCAGCTTGATTAAGGAGACGGTCATCTACAATACTGGGCGCTTATGATAGATATTAGTGCCTCTTGTGTATACATTCCTGTACTTGTCAGAACCCCCCCTTTTCACTGCTGTGCTAAATATGGATCTGGTGCAATGCTTACACTGACTTCTGCCAATGTAGGGTGCGAGCACTCACCTGGAGGCATGAGCTGTCTCTAGACATCACTGATGTGAAACAAGCTTGAAGATTAGAACGTAAGAGTTTATTCAGAACTTTTTATCTGCATACTTTTTTCGGGCCAGTACAAAGAATGATTGAAGCCACCACCATCAGAAAGAGAGGTCAGTAATGGCAACCTTTATATTCACCCAGTATATGTCTCTCACGCCACAGTGCAGTTTTCTGCAATGTGCCTGTTGCAATAGGCAGCTCATTCAAAATGAATGGACTGTAAACGCACCTCAACCCATGAAAAAAATAGGTCCTGCATCATTTTTTTAAGTGCAGCGTAACACGCAGAGTGTATGTATCTGTGCAGTAGATATGGATTATGGTGAAATTAACTTTGTATTGCAATGTATATCTATATATAGTGCATTACCATGGGTTGTAGTAAGTTGTGTAATAAGGTGGGTCATGACATTATGATATGAAAAGACTTTTAAAGAATGACTTTACCTTTCTGACTATTTTTCATGTTAGACCCATATTTAGGGTATAACACAAAACATGGTTAGATCACAGACCCCCCATTCACAGAATCTGAGAGTCTGCAAGTTCCATCAGAAAGAGAAGGCTAGTTGCACTCCTTACCAGTAAAACCCCGTAGTCAGGGAGGGGTGCATGGAATGACTGCAGATGGCACCGCCAATTGTAGATAATTGTAGAAACGTCACCAGCACACAGAAATCCTTATAAGATCATAAATCATGGATTTATTGCAAACTCATATCAGTTACACAAGCGCTTATACAATCCTACAAGGATTTCGGTGTGCTGGTGACGTTTATGCAATTATCTGCAAGTTCCATCAGCCACAGGGGCAAAGGGCATTCTAGTTCTCAATGGCGTCACTGCACTTGTAGTCCATTCATTCTTCCTCCCGCCCATGTTACTGAATGTCCGTACCTCGATACAGACATGGACAGGAGGCAGAGTCTGCAGAAACCAGGGCGTTGCACTCATGATCCACTTCTCAGGGTTGCAATGCTTTACTGGCTCCAATGCAATAAAATAAAAATTGCAGAGTTTTTGCTTTATGAAGAAGCGTGCATTTATTTATTTTTTTAAGGTGGAATTTCCCTTTAAAATTGTACCTATCCTTCAAATTGGACTGGTTGCTATGTGTTAGTGCACTTTGCACACCATTGCTTTTGTTTTGCTTACATCCTAAAATAGCTGCAGCATTTCACAAATCTCTAAGAGGAATCTGTAAACTTATGTCACTTCATCATATAAATAACAGTCATTTAGGGGTCTATCCACTGTTAGGTAAAAGGAGACTACTGTTTTAGACTCCTTCCTGGTACATTAAGAGAAACCTAAGACTGGTTCTTAGTAATAAGAGAGGTGTTGAGGTGCCTCTACCATAGTACTGTATTAGTTTAGGGTGGAAGAGCCCTTTAATGACTGGTAATTTATAAAAAATCATTACAGAGTTATAATATCAGATAAAATATGTAATTGTATTACATTTCATTGTAATTGTCAGAGCATGTCTAATGATTCAGTACTCACCTTGGGCTTGAAAGCTATAAGTTTCAGAACCATTTCTACAGTAAACACAGCAGTGAAGACCATGTTCATCACATCCATGACATCATTAAATATTTTTGATTGTCCATAATGCTGAAATATGAAGCAAACAGGTATATGTCAATACAGAAGAGTGCTGAGAGCAATTACAAGATCAGATGTTAGTAAAACTATAGAGGTATGGTTTGTAGTTTTAGATTGTGTTGTCCCTTAAAACTTTTCTCCAATTCTCCAGCCTTCCCTTCACACTTGCACAGTGGTGCCACTGAGCACCTCTCATGTACTGAAATTGCTAATCTGAATTCACTGCACACTGTGAACTTCTCATAGTGTGCATTAGAAGTGGCAGAAAGTCAGATAGAGCCTGCCTCATTTCCTGGCTTTCCTCCCCAGCCTTACTGTCCATGGACCACCCCTTCCCTTCATTATATTTCACTTCTTTCCATGATGGAGGATTGGCACCACATGTGGTGTTACCTAGGGCAGTCTGCATGCAAATTCAATCTGCCTAGGAACTTCCACTTCTCCAGAATGACTTCAGCTCATCAAGCCATCTTGATTTTGCACAACTCCTCCCAACAGCCAGCCCACTGCTTGCAACAGGGCTGAGCACTCATGAGAGGAGTACTGAGGCAGGGTAATGTTGAGGGGGAAGTGGGGGCACCAGAGAAGGCAAAATATAAGCAGATCAAACTTCAGCTTTAACAGCAATGGTGTTTGGTCAATGTTATTTTTCTTCTGAACCCTTACAGATGTATATACTGGAGTTTACCGTATATACTCGAGTATAAGCCGAGTTTTTCAGCCCATTTTTTTTTGCTGAAAAGTGCCCCCCTCGGCTTATACTCGAGTCAGCGTCTCGAGCTGGTCAGGTTTCTTCTTACTTACCTCTCCGAGCGTCGCGTCACTGCTGCTCCGGTGGGCGACGCTCCGAGCGGGGTCATCTGGCAGTCTCCGGGTCCTAATTTAGGTGGCCGGAGAGTGCCAGATGAC